AAAATGTGTGACAGGGTCTGTCCAGGCTTTGTCTGCTACCTGCTGGAGGTGTCAGTGCCCTGACCACCTCACGCCCCGGCTCAGGCAATGCTACCAAAAAGACTTAGTCCTCCAAAGGCGTGGAAGGCCCAAGAGGAGATACTGACCAATCGGGAGCCAGCAGGCCAGTTAAGGAGGCTTGCCTTCTTCTCAGGGGTAAAGCTGGCTGAGATTGGAACACAGGAGGAGCTTCTCAGTACTAGCTCAGAACCCAGGGTCAGGTCAGGGCCTTGACTTCAAGCGCTGCAACTAAGGACTTGCCTTTTAAGATTTTGTTTGTTTATTTAAAGACTCAGATGACCAAATTCAGTGTTTATTTTTGTTTAACTGTTTAGAGACTGATGCTAAGACTATGGCATGGGCTGCCCTTCTTCAAGCAGGCAGCCTAAACTTGTGCACTAAGGCAGGGGAACCTGCAGTATCATGCATGTTAAGGAGCAGTCCCATGAGCCACAGGGCATACTGTCCCTTCAGTACGGTCAAGTCCTTCACTCTAATCTGAACAGTCTTCACCTGACCTTTTGGCTATTGAATGGCTAGACCATACAGCAAAGAACTGTTATTTAGCTGCACAAAACATTTTGTTGAACAGCGGGAAACCATCTATTATGAGTACTTACCTGTGTAAGTGGAAAGTTTTTTGTGTTGGGCTGAGACTCATAACTTGCTTCCCTCAGCTACAAAGATATAGGATATTTTATAATACCTACTTCATTGTAAGGTGTCATGATTTTCTATTAGCTCACTAAACGTGCAATCTCTGCTGTCCATGCTCCTATTCAATAGTTACAATACAGGTAAGTAACCATCTTTTTTTACATTTGGATGCTCTCTTTTACCAGGGTTTTATGAGCTCGTGTTAAATAGCTGCATACTTTTTGTGCTTGAAAAGATCAAGAGCTCCCGTATCAGCAGATTCATACATTTTTTTAGAACTAGATTTTTGCAACCCTACTGATGAAGTTAACTTATATGAGCTTTTGCAATAAGTAATTTGTATCTATTTAAAACCATCAGAATGCAAATAAAATCTGGAAATATAAGACTGGGTAATTATCTAGTGAACTGAAGTTTTGGAAAAAGAATACTTTGATACAGAGATACAACTATTAGTCTGGGAGCATAATGTAGTAAAATCTCATTCCATGGGCAAGTTAGTGATTAAAAGGTAAGGGAAGTGTCATTTGTTTTGTAAAATTTACAGAATCATAATTTCAGTGGTATCACCCTCTGGATTAGGGCAGAGGGACTCCCCCACACCTCAGCTACCAGCTCCAGGTCCTCTAATTCATGGAAATTTTGATAATACAATGTCTCAAAATATTAGTTGAATTAGGTATATATTAGAATCTGGAATATATTAGCTGGAAATAGAAAAGGAATATGAGTGGCCCTTGAAGCTAAGGTAAATATGGAAATTGATCCTATAAACAAGTCTTACTTTGCAAAACTATACAAAAATTACAATAATATTTAGGTGAGCAATCAACGACCAGTGACAAAAGTATAATTGTAAACTTCTCCTTTCAAGATAGGTGAACATTAAAGGAAGAAAATTAATATTAATATTTTAAGATACAGTTTTCAGCTCTAAAGTGTAGTATAACCCCATTATTGGAAATGTTTTGGCGATATCAAAAACACACAAATAATCAGCAGAGTTAGTGGGTGAGGTATTTCACACCATGGGGACATAATGAAATTACACACAAAAATCTATGTTAAATAAATTTTAAGGTTGCAAATTCAAGCACTCAAAAGTTAGGTCTGGAAATCCCAGGCTTCAGGGTTTAATTTGGCCCCCTTGTTGTGTATGCATTATGATACAGTCTTTTAATTACATGATCATATAATATATTTTTCCACAAGATCCCTGCTTCAGTCAGTGCACAAAATGGACAGTGCTCACTGAATACGTTGCTGTTCAGGATTTCTGTTTATCTTCCTGTTTATCTTCCTTCAGTGTGTAGCCATATATCTTATTTACTGCATACCGACAGTTGGAGTTGCATGCAAAGTATGGTTGGATCTACTGATAAATGAAGATCTTGCACCACACAAAACAAAAATTCAAAAGAGATTTTGTGAGGCAATTACCTCCTGTGTCAACCTCCTTCAGTCAAAATACGCAAGAAAGAAATTGTCATCTGAATAAGAAGAAATTGCAAGTCTGTGGTTGCTCAACAAAAAACCCAACTTTCTGCCACATTTACTTTCATTTAAAGTAGAAGAAACTCTGTATCCAAAATCAATGTTTTCCTCTGCCATGGTTCAGCAATTTTGACTCCAGCAGCCTGCTCATTATGCGACAGCCATACTCTGGTCTCCAGCAGCCTTGGTTATTGCTAACCAAGTGACCCCAACACATCCCCAGTCCTGAATTTTCCCAGAACCATCTGCCCTGAAATGTCCAGCTCTCTCCAGGAATGTTCAAAGGAGTAATAAGGCCTGTTGCTCCTTTAAAGAGACAAAAGCACCATAGAGTTAATAATCACTTCAAGTTGAACGCAGTACTTGGTTAATTTAGAATAAAAGTAAAGCAAGTTTATTTAATCAAAAATAGAGAGTTTTTAAGTGAGTTCAAGCACAAAGGACAAACACAAATTGGTTGCAAGCAAATAAAAGTAAAATACACCTTTTAGTGGCTAAGACTTAACTCAACAATCTACAGTCTTGGGTTCAAGGTAGATTTCTTACCAATCTTTTTCTTTCCATCCTTTCTCTAAGTCAGGACCTTCTATAGAAGTACAAGGGGCTGTAGGTGAAAGATCTTTGCCTACGTAGGTTTTTCACTTATATTAGATTCCCACAGATTTCAACTCCCTTGGTTGAAAGATCCATCTTGCTCAGGTTTCAAGAACTCTGGCCCCTTGTGCTGTCCACTGATGGATTCCAAGATAGCCTCTTCTCTCTCCTTATATCTTCCGAAACTCACTGTTTTGTCCCCAGACTCAGGATGACCTCATGCTTTTCTTCCCTTCCTGTGGACTTCTCATTGCCCTGCTGATTTGTCTGTCAATGGGGCTTAAACAGCTTTCGGTCATACCTTCCTTAATTTCATTGGAGACAGGTATATAACTGCCTTCCCTTCTGTCTGGCAGAAAACCTGTTTCCCTATCTTTGTTTGGTCACTGACTTTAAAGCATAATATTATTATTGAGTATCCATAATTCCTCATACAGTATTACTATGTACGTTTCACAATTATATTAATCACCAGTATGTCATTAGCTTTCATAAAAGCTCATACTTGATACACTTTTATAATACAGTAGTATTGTATACTATCAGGTGATTCAATTACTTATCGTAGGAGGTTCAGACCCCGCAAGAGGCTATTTCCGCCATTTGCTAGGTTGATGACTCTGTTTAATTTGAATGTAAATATACCTTCATTGTCTCTGCCTGAGGACCAGGCTGGTCAAGCAAACAAATACCCTTTCCTTTGTCTAGGGCAGACTGTGCTTATGCACAAGGACTCCTCGGAGACTAACAAATTTATTTGGGCATAAGGTGCCACAAGGACTCCTCGTTCTTTTTGCTGACACAGACTAACATGACTACCACTCTGAAACCTGTGCTTATGCATTGTTTCTCAAACACATTTTCAGAACGTAATTCTAGCACATACCTTATTTGTGCACATCCCATACATATATCACACAAGAATATTAACGATCAGTGAGATATTAGTTTTCCAGCAATATATTGCATTCCACCTTTTGGGTGTATATCATGAAAACAATGGGTTAGGTGTAGTGAGTACGTCAGGCCTGAGGAGTTGCTGACACAAAGTAGTGAACCACCAATGGGCCTCTGTATTACAACTGGCAGATCGCAACTCTGCATGTTTCTGATTGCTTAACACTTCATTCTTACGACTCTGGGGTATTATCATTTTCAGGTAATCAATTTTTTTTTTACTTTTGAATATATGATATTGAAAAATTAAATGAGTCATGACATATATAACTTCCTTAAGAAAGTTCCAAACCGAAACGTATACAGACCTTCCAATGTTCAGTATTGTAATTACATATATTAGTATTACAGCCACTGCAATTTTTTTTTATTTGTACAACCCTAAATTAATCTCCTAATCTACTGTTTTATGTAACCACAATTTGAATATGTAACTGAAACTAAATGTAATGTGGTGTGCATTAAATAAACACTTTTAAAAATAGAAAATTCCATAAACTGGGACTAACTAGTTTTTCCTGGAGTGGTAAAAACCATGATTTACCTGGTAAAAACCACCTCTGGTAAATACCATTCTATCCTTGCCCATAACATGGCCTTCCACAACTTGTCCCTGTTTCCTCCTGCTCCTGTACCCCCATAGCCTGTGCCTGCTCTGTCCATTCCAGCCAACCCCGTCCTCCTCCTCTCCCTCTTCACTACTTTGCATTTAAGCATGTCAGTCTGCTTTTCCTCGTTCTGCCTGAGCACCAGAAGGGGGGCATTGAGAGAACAGAAGTAGATTTTCAAGTTTCTGCTCAAAATCATGGAGGCTCTAGGGTTTCTCAATGAAAAGTCTGTAAGGGTTTTTTTAACAGGGGCCAAACAACATATTTTCCCCTACCTTTGTTCTTGGAAATGGCTGAACCATGTTTGCTGAACCTTTAAAAACAAAACAAAACAACAAACAAACAAAAAAACCAGCCTAAGGCAGATACTTGCTATGAAAAATTTCAGCCAAAAAGTTTGGCAAAATTTTATATGCAATTGAAAACTAGGTCTTATCATAGAAAGCATTAAGCAATGTTGACTATGGATGTTGCCATCAGTGCTGCCTCTAATAAAAAGAATGTTTGAAAAAGATAGTTTTACTGTACAATTTTCAACTCAGTCTGAGCTATATCTGAGTTCTGGTCATTTTTTGATCATTTTAGCTCCAAATTTATTAAAGGAAAAGCATGAGTGAATTATTAAAAATAAGCCTTTGTATTTATTTTTAGGTGGAAAAGAAGTAACAAATAAAGAAGAATTAAAAGGCGTCCAATGGGCTTCATGGACATGTGTTTATGGCCTTGAAGTTAACGGAATCTGGCCCAAATATTCAGATATCAATGATATCAATTCTGTAGATGGAAATTTTAATGGTCAAGTTTTGGTTACAGCTGATGACTATGGAATAGTAAAACTATTCCGGTACCCTTGTTTAAGAAAAGGTAATATCTTTGTTTGACTTAAATTATTAATGAATATTTATAAAGGTTTGGGGAAAGTAGAAAGGTCTTAAGAGTTATGTAAATGGCAAAGCTGTAGTCTTAGAATGATAAAGTACAGATATGGAAAATAGTAATGGTTTGATTAAATGAACCATGTAATAGTGACTTACAGAATCTATGATCTATGTTTTTGTGTGTGCTTTGGATAAGATAGTGATTTATATCACAACAGGTTCTATGTGGCAGTAGTACACAGTTTCTAGAAATTTCAGTAGAAGAACAAATGCACTGTGGGCATTCCTTTATAATTATTTTTGTTTTATCATGATTGCTGATCTGTTTCATGTTTCATGCTATGGACGAAATTGTGTAATTAGGGAAAGTAAGAATAAAAGAACTTTGTGCAAAGAATCTCTATGAGGGCTCTAGAAAAGTGAACGAATTCACCCTCACACATGCACTCAGTGAGGCTCAGTATCAGCACACCTGATCCCATGAGCTGCAGAAGTGTCTGCTGTGGTCACACTCCATTCATATGCAGATCTAGGTCAGTGGATATTGGTAATTTTTATTCCAAGTAGGCATTCCCCATTCTGTAGTGCTTGGTGGCAGACTGTATCATTAGCTCTGGGTTAGGGGCTAGAACTATCCTTCAGGAGGAACTCCAAGAGTTCTTTACCTCCAAACTTGCACAGGCAGTAGACCTTCGGTCTGCCCATGGCCCTCACAGGGAACCTCCTTGCCCCAGGATGAAGCCTAGATAACCGATACATTTTCCCCAGAGCCATTTTGGAGCCATTTTTCCCAGAGAAACCTTAAATAGATAGTGTCCATTTACTAAGCACAAGTCCTAGGGCTTCTGAGCATAAAAGCAGTGCCAATAGAGGGACAGTTCCTTGTGAAAGGAAGGAAAAGCCCCAGTTAAATTCTTGATCAATCGGTTCATCAGCCCTCACAGAGAGAGTGCCGATCACAACACGTCATTCGTGTTCTAGCCAGTTCTTCAGCCAACCTCTGGCCAGGCTGTCAGCTGCACTGTACATCCGATTGGCATAGTACTGTGGTCTAGAACCCCTGAGCGATTTGCCAGCCTCAGCCTCCCAAGTAGCTAAGATTATGGGCGTGCGCCACAGCACCCAACGTCCCAGTTAAATTATCCAAATGAAAGTTCATAACTTCGGCTTCTTTCTGGTTTTAATCCTAGAAGTTCCTCTATATTGCCACCTTGTCTGACGAAGGGGAATTGTCTGATTCTGATTGTGTGACCCTGGAAGAGGAGCCTCAGCAGAGGTTGTTCCCTCTTCACCTCTTCACTGTCATGCTAAGAAAAGTTCTAGCAGCCCTGGAGATGCTGCTGGATCAACCCCGGAGCAGGGCCCATTGGTAAAATCCAGGGAGTGTCTCAGAAGTTTTTCCTAGCTAGCACAAATCAGGAGCTTTGTGTTCCTCTACATCCTGCTTCTGAGGACTTGATTAAGGCAGAGTGGGAGTTTACTATCAAGGAGAAGTTTCTTAGCTGGCAAACATAAAAATTCTAAACACCCCCAAAGACAAAAGACAAAAAGGATTTTGGCAGTCTTGCCAAAGTTGATGCAGCCTCAACCTGAGTCATAGACTCTGGCTGACAGCCAACAGTTTAATCTTCCTCCAAGCACTAGGGAAAGAGGGACATACACAGTACAGATTGTCAAACATTGACATTCACAGAAAGAAATTTCGCATATAAGGCTCAGTTTTCCAATGCCTTCCACTGCCAAGAATGCCTCAGATATTAAAAAGGTGCGAAGCTCTTTTTGTGGCCTTGTATATACTGTCAGGTCATCTGTTTCCAGCTGCTTCAGGTCCTGCTATTCCTTATTCTGAGCAGCTGACCCCTGTTCAGCCAGGACTAAGCATCAGGGAATATGGGGTTAAGTAATTCAAAACTCCTTCCTTGGGAAAAATGGGCCTCCCCTTCCCTCTCCCTCTCTTCCAGTGCTCCTACAGAAGGCGATGAAGTAGCTGACTTTCTCATTAGGGAGACATGCAGGGAACATGTCTCCAGGCATTGTAACTATGGTCTCCCTCATAATGCTCCCTCTCTTTTCCAGCCCTTACCCCTCTCTAAGGGATTTGGGCCAGAAGTCAGCAAAGATGACTTATCTGTTTCACCTGGTTAGGGCACTCAACTGGGATGTGTAAGAGACAGGTTCCAGTCCTTGGTCTGAATCAGGGAAAACAGAGACTTGAACATGGGTCTCTCACATCCGTGGTGAGTACTCTAACCAGTAGGTCATTGACTGTTCTTGGGTGGCTGGGTGGGTGTGGCTTCCTTTTTCAATTAAAAACTTCTAAAGGTCTCAGGTTTGTCCTGGTCAGGAATGGGAAAAAATTTGAAATCTCAAATTTTAATGGGAGTGGAAAACCTTTTCTTGATTGGCTCTACTTCTTGCTCAACCCTACTACTAAGGGTAAGGGAAAATCTCAGATGAAATTTCTGAAGCTGAAGCCCAGAGCAAGCTACCTCATACTCTCAACTGAAGTCCCCAAAATGAAAAGTGTGTGTGTATTGTAGGGAGAGAGGGAAATCTTTGCAAACTCATATGTTTAACAAAAAAGAGTTGCTGCTGCTTCACAGTTATTCAGAATGCTCTATTCCAGAAACCATCCAGGCTGAGCAAGAAAAGTGCTCTAAGTCTCAAAGATTTGTTGTATCTTAAAACCTGTGATGCCATGACCATATGACATAGCCTCTGAAATGCATTTTAGCATTCGAGGAGGTAGAGTCATCGTAATGTTTAAGATTAGCCTGGAGACTAGACTGAATCCTGGTTTTTGAAAGAGCAGAGAAATAATGTCCTATGGTTAAGGCTAAGTTTTTGTCATGCATATTTTTAGTAAAAGTCATGGACAGGTCACAGGCAATAAACAAAAATTCATGGAAGCCCGTGACCTGTCCCTGACTTTCACTTAAAATATCCCTGACAAAAGGGGTAGGAGGGTTCAGCACCCAATGCTGCTGGGGGCTCCTGGGTCCCCCTCTGCTGCGGAGCGTGGGAGCTCCAGGGTCCCCTGCCTAGGGGGCTGGGCTGCTGCAGGGTCCCCTCACCCCTAGGCAGCTGGGAGCTTCAGGGTTCCCCAGCTGTTGGCTGCGGCTGGGCAGCTGCAGGGAGTCCCCCCATTGTCTGTGGCGGTTGGGCAGCTGCAGGGGTCCCCCACCCTTGTCGGTGGATGGACAGCTGCAGGGTCTGCCAGTCCCTCCGCCATGGCTGGGCAGCTGTGGGGGGTCTCCCTGTTGTCCACCTCAGATGGGCAGCTGTGGGGAGTCCCCCCGTTGCTCGCCACGGCTGGGCAGCTGTGGGGAATCCCCCCACTAGGGCAGGGGCTGGGAGCTGCGGGGGCAGGGCTGGCTGGGAGCTCCCGTCCCAGGGCAGAAAATGTCACGGAGGTCTATGGAAGTCACGTATTCCGTGACCTTGGTGACATAATCGTAGCCTTAGCTATGGTTAGATCATGTAAGAAATCTGTATCAAAAGGAATCAAATTTTGTTACTACTTTTGAATTTTTTTAGATACTGTAGGATGATTTGTGTCCTTTAATTTATCTATAAAATACACCTTAATGATGTAGGGATACTTGAGAAACAGATAACTGATCCTAGAGCCCTAGATACATCCTCAGAATCCTCATGTAAATCTGCACTTACTTTACAATCAACTAGTTCTTTAAGGGTCACATACCCTTTGATGTTTTATAATTCAAGCTATAACCAGAGCAGTCCCTTGGGTACGGCGAATTTGGGCAACCGCTTCGGCCTCGCGCTTTGGGGGCCCTGCGGGCCAGTGTGATTGGCTGGCGTCGTTGGTCCCGGAAGTGACGGATTCGTCACTTGGGCCTCAGGCCCCCCTCGGGATGGCCCTGGCTATAACTGTGTGACCCACCTAATGGGCTTGAGGACAAACATTAGGCAAGTTCACATAACCGTTTGGGTATTATAGAAATAGAATTTTACCATCCGTTTGTGCCCCTCAACAATGGCATGAATATCTAATGTTATTTTGCCTTATTCCCTTTTGCAAATACAGTTTAAGAAGTCCTTCCGATTTTGTTTTGTTTTCTTTTGATAGCCTTAAGGCATTTGCTAGTTGCTAACTGAGATAATCTAAAAAACCTGTCCTAAGAAGTATTTTCAGAAAATCTAAAAGAAACCAGCTTTCTCCTTCTTTTAAGTAGTTTTGAGCATGACTAATTAAACAGCAAATTAATTTGCTGAAGAGAAATAATGAGAACGCCTGCAATGAGTTCTGTGAAGCCAATTTCTTTTTGACATATATCTGAATTTTGAGTTTGTTATGCAGGATTTGGTAACAGAGCTAACCAGATGTAATAGTAGTGATGAGTATGCATGACAAGAATTGCTTAACACTCAAAGTTCTTCAACGGGAAAAGTGGGAGCTGGCACTCAAAGCTTTCAGTGAGGGGAACCCAATTAAATATGTGCAAATAAAAATTAAAATGCCACTCTGTGATGGCAGGGAAAGTAAGCAGTGGGATCTTGTACAAGGTGAGCAAAGTGATCCTAATGTAGTAAAAAGAAAAGGAGTACTTGTGGCACCTTAGAAATTTGTTAGCCTCTAAGGTGCCACAAGTACTCTTTTTCTTTTTGCGAATACAGACTAACACGGCTGCTACTCTGAAACCTGTCATAATGTAGTAAACTTAATGAAAGCCTAGCATATGTCCCCTTCCTTTCTGCCTCTGCTTTTTCATCTGTTATAAACTGGTACATGAATGTAAAATTTTACTATTTGATATGCAGGCAGATTAGAGGCTGGGAATGGTATCATAATTTTCATGACTTTTTATGGATCCATTTTCCTGTTACAAAGCAGAGCAAATGGAATTCTAGTTATCCATATTGGTGGCATCTAGTGAGCAGATTTTTTTTTTATTTAAAGCTTAATGGTTATTTTTTCACACATTGTATAGAAATGTTCCCTGTTTTTTAATCATTGTGCTTTTGAAAGATTTATTCTGAATACACTGAAAATGCTTTCTTCCCCTTCTCCCCCCGCCCTTGTTCTAGGAGCAAAGTTTAAAAAATATCTTGGGCATTCAGCTCATGTGACAAATGTCAGATGGTCACATGATCATCAGTGGGTTGTTTCTATTGGTGGAGCTGATCATTCTGTCTTCCAGTGGAAATTTGTCCCTGAACGGAAGCTGAAGGATGCTATTCACATAGCACCCCAAGGTGAGAGCTCATAACGTTCTTTTATGTTTAAAAAAGAAGGTGAAAAAGGTTAATATAAGTAGCAACATAGTTTATACATATTCAGAATTATCTAACCTTATGCATTGATCATCCTTAAAATTTTGCAGTTGCCTGAGGTAGCTAATATCATAACCCCAATATTTGTTGATACTTCCTGTTATAAGTATAGAGAGATTTGGCAAATATACTCATCACTTTCTTCATGCCCAGGTCGTCCTAGGATCCGCTGTTGATCTCCGAGTTGCTCCAGGTCTCAGGAGAGTTTTAAGTCCTGGGCTCCTTGTGGGGTGGTATTCCACTCAGGGACCTCTGCTTCTGGTGCTCTTCGTGCCAGTCCAAACTGGCTTTCTGTGGCCTCCTCGGTTTCCCAAAACATCCCGGCTCCGGAGACTTTGTTTTCCTTTCTATTGGCCTTCGCTGTTGCCGTCTCATTTGCTCTCACTGTTCTCGCTGCTATCTCTGCAGCTCTGCTCAACTTAGTTCTCTTCTCATGGCTGGGCAGCTGCTGATTTCTTGTAGAGCCCATGACCTTGGGCCGGGGCCAGTGTCTTATCTTCACACGGAGCTAGCTGAAGGTTTGAGTTAACTCGTTCTCTGTTCTTCTTCTTTCTCCCCCGCTGGCCTCTCGTATTCTGCAAAGGAAACTTCCACTCTCCACTCATACACCTTTGACCCTCCCCAAAATGCTTTGCAATGCTTGCAATAGTGTTAGCCTATACAATGCTGATCTGCCTTTCCCGGAGACTCCCTGAGGGAGGGGGCCATTGGGGTGTGACATTCCCCCCCCCCTTGACTCCGAATCAACATTTTGTTGTGAGAAGTCACCACTTAGGTTTCCATCCTCCCTCTGACACAGTGACCAGGGTTACTAGTGGCCTTCTACATAAACAGCAATATAACATACACAAAATTGTGAGGGCAGCAACAATTGCATACACTAGCCAATAATGACTTCTGGCTTCATTAGTAACATAGCATAGCACATCCCCCTGTTGGCATAGATGCCCCACTTGAATGTCTGTGGCAAAGGTAGCTTCCTCCAGATTAAACGTGTGCTGCAACACTGTAAAGGAGGAGGCATCTGTCTGGAATACGGTCAGTTGTTCCCAGGTGTGCATCAAGGGCAGGAAAACATTGGGTGTAATCCATGAAAAATTAAACACAACATAGAGATATTAACCATACTTTGCATAACCACGGGCCAATGCACCAAAATTTTTTTGTGCCTCAGAGTATAACAGCAAATCAAGGGACATCCTGGGATAGGTGGTCCTCCAAACACATGCAGAGGTATTGGTAAACACATGGGCCTTAGTGGGGGCATATCCCGATGCCTCCCCTTCCCAGCAGATGTGTTGACCTATCTCATAAAAGCGATGTGGCATTGCCTTTTCTCTACATATCATTTGAGGGGACTCCATAGGCCACAGCTGCCAAGTGTTGCCCTCTGCAATCCATATGTGCTGATAGAAGATGTACTCAGCACATACCGCTTAGCCATGTCATTGGTGGGAGCCACCTCCCACACGTCGCGATGGACCACCCAATCCCAGATAATACGTGATGCCACATTCCTAGGATGCTAAGCTACAATTGCCCCCTCTGCCAATGGATAATTGACCTTTTCTTCCCCATGGTTAATTCTGAACAGTGGTAAAATTAACAAAGGAGGACAAAAGCGTCAGACACCCGAGGATTCCCATAGATATGTGCCACCATACATACATTGTATCACACTAACAAATTCTGAAGGCCTGAAGCAGCATGAGCGGTCCCACCGCTCCTGTTCAGGGTGTCCCTGGGCGCTCGTTATTACTGCCTTATCCTGTTAACAAAGCAAGAGCGAGAGAAAAAGAACAACATAAATGCGCCTATTGGGGATACCGAGGCACATATAAAAAAATTCCCTAAATTATTAGTCATCCTGTTTCAGCCTTGGCTTTCATCATGTATATTGTTGTTGGCCTGGTTTAGGAGGTTCTAACAACAATATTACATCCTGAGATCAGTAATTGCTATTGTTTGCCAAAGGGATTCCCATTCCACTTCCACTCCAGGCACCACAGGAGGAACAGGGTTTGTCCCAATGGGATCCAGGGGAAGCTTGGGGCCACCCACCAGGTATTTTGCTGTGGTCCTGCTGTGTCTGTCCGGACTATGCACTGTCTCCAAGGCACCTCCCCTCCAGCCTCGCACCACACGGTGGCTCGCGCCCCATCAGTAGCTCGAGCCAGGGAGAGCCTTTGGAGGTATCTTCCCTTCTAATAATTACGATCATCCTTAGAATCCCATGGCCAGCTGGAAACCCGGATGTTCCAGGCAGATGGCTGGTCCACAACCGAGGCCCACGATGCCATGTCCAGAAACCTAGGGAGAAATATGTTTTGAATTGATTGGCATGCGCCCATTTTAATTTACCGGGTAGCTGTAGCTGGTACACTACTAGGGAGATGCGGTTCACAATGGAGTACAGACCCACCCACTTAATGTCCAGGGTGTGGGCTGCTTTCCCCAGTTTTTGCAACATTACCTTGTCTTTAATTTGCCATCCCCAGATGTCTTTAACGATGATCCCCTTTGTCAGGTTCCTTCCCCACTCTGAACTCTAGGGTACAGATGTGGGGACCCGCATGAAAGACCCCCTAAGCTTATTCTTACCAGCTTAGGTTAAAAACTTCCCCAATGTACAAACTTTGCCTTGTCCTTGGACAGTATGTTGCCGCCACTAAGCGTTTTAAACAAAGAACAGGGAAAGACACCACTTGGAAACGTCTTCTCCCCAAAATATCCCCCCAAGCCCCACACAACCCCTTTCCTGGGGAGGCTTGAGAATAATATCCTAACCAACTGGTTACAAAATCATCAAAAATCCAAACCCCTGGATCTTGGAACAATAGAAAAATCAGTCAGGTTCTTAAAAGAAGGATTTTATTTAAAAAGAAAAGAAAGGTAAAAATCATCTCTGTAAAATCAGGATGGAAAATACTTTACAGGTATTCAGATTCAAAACACAGAGGATCCTCCTCTGGGCAAAACCTTAAAGTTACAGAAAACAGGAATAAACCTCCCTCTTATCACAGGGAAACTTCCCATAAAACAAAAGATAAACTAATCCGCCTTGCCTGGCTTACTTATACTGATTGCAATATTGGAGACTTGGATTAGGATGGGTTGCAGAGGATGGATTTCTGTCTGGCCTCTCTCAGTCCCAAGAGAGAACAACCACGTAAACAAAGAGCACAAACAAAAAGCCTCCCCCCACCACAAGATTTGAAAGTATCTTGTCCCTTTATTGGTCCGTTGGGTCAGGTGCCAGCCAGGTTAGCTGAGCGTCTTAACCCTTTACAGGTTAATCCCTCTGGCCAGGAGGGATTTCATAGCACTGTATACAGAAAGGTGGTTACCCTTCCCTTTATATATGACATCCTTACACTTGGCCTTTTCCTTATCTAAAGCGGCCTCTACAGCTTCACGGTTTTCACATAGCTCCTTCCTCAACTGGGCAAAGCTGAGTCTATTTTGGTTGTGGTAAACCGTAAATGTGATTATTGGTAAACACAGTACTTACATTACATTTACATTTGTCAACTAGTGGGTTGCTAACACTTCCGTCCTCCCAAAACACTTCTTCCCAGGAATTTACACATACACATTGCCCATTATACAGTACTTTGGTCTCATTATCCAATTCATCTCACATACAGGATCCTAGTGAAATGTCTTTACTACAGGGCTCTGGAGCAACAGGTAAGGACAAGCATACCCACTTTTGAGGAGTCCGCTCGGTACAACCTCTGGGGTCCAATTGCTTCCCTCCTTCTCTCCCCAGCCCACAGGCTCGAGGTCCAGGGTGGCCAGAAGGATCCCATGTGCAATATGGGGAGTGGGCTAACTTTCCATATCTTGGCCTCCAGAGCCTATTGGTGTGCGATTTTAACAACAATTTCTCCCAATTAAAAGGTCTGGCCTTACTATGCTAAAAACGTACTGCATCCATTTGTACTGACAAGTATCAAACAGCGATTTATGTATTTATTTATTGCTTTAGCACGTGTGTCAAAACCTTAGTATTTCCTGATGTTACCCAAAACATTTCGTTTTCCAAGGTGAACAAAGCAAGTATCTGCATTTCAGTACATCCCATAGCTATAGCAGTATGTTTTTTTTTTTAATTTCCATTTGTTTCTGTATTTGGCTGTCCTGTAGCTGGGACAGGGAGCTTAATTTATTCTTAACCTCCTCCATGTCTACAGTATTTATAATCCCTGCTCCAAAACCAGTTTTTCCTAATATGATGTCTGCTGTCTGAGGATGTTTCCTTGCAGCATTTGATACACAACAGTGCTAGCAGCAAGACAAACAACACAAGACAAAACATAGAACACAATTTCTATTGTGACAGTAGCTTCATGATATTCTGGGTTGCTTTTCAGCTGGTATCAGCTTCTCCTGTTCTGCAGGACAAAAAACCCCATATTTCTACCCCTTTGGGGGTGGCAGATGATTGCTTAAAATATTCCTTTCTTTTACAAATATCCTTGCTGATTGCAGGAAAGACAGAGGAATTACATCCATATTTTCTCGTTTGTACTATAGGCAGGCCAGGTTTCAATGGCTTCTACTTTTATCAGTTAGGTAATTTCCATTAACACAGATACTTTCTGGCTTGCTTTTGGATTCAAAGCCATTAGCAGCTCAGAGACTGTCTTAAAAGGGACACAATCAACTTTCACCAGAGTTTTGATTACTTTTAACTCCTGCTTCCAAAACACACATTTTAAAAGGAAAACACAACCTATTGTGGTATATTTTTGCATTTCTTTTGCCCCTTTTACAGTATACACTGGGGGAAAATGCACATTCCTCCCATAATTTAATTTCCATAACATTAGCCATATCAGTTTTTTCATAAGGTATAATTGTTTCTTTTGTGCTCACCGAATTTTTATGTACCCTTAGCAAAGTGACAGATTGATTAC